TAGTGTTAATGGCTCTTAGTTTATTGTTGGTTTAGAGCCTGGTCTGATTGCTAGACCCAGGAGTGGCCATTTCCATTAAACTTACAATTCCAATATTTTCAGGCCAAAAAATGCTCTAACAGCTGAAAAGTTTTGCATATTGCTACAGTAAAGCTTTTGTGGACTGATATAATCTAATGAGATTTAAAAAAAAAGGGCCATTGAGTGTCAAGGCATAACTGCTTTGGCCAAAGGACAGCATAAAAGTTAGCTTAAGTCTTACAGCTGAAGTCAGGAGCCAGATGGCATGCAACAGTTCATACAAATGACATTTAATTTGTCAAAGAAGCAATCACTTGATTTTAAATACCAGCAATACTCTGTAAAGATATAGTTTGCTTAAAACAGAATGCTGTCATATTAAGTCAAATTACTTAAGAAGAAAAATGCAGATACCTTCAGCAATAACGGTATGTTACAGTGTTTGAGTACTGACTCATTTTGAATAGCACTCAACTCAGATGTCTGACAGGATTAAGTGCTGGTAGGTATGGTTAAGGGAAGCAGTTTTGGGTTAAACTCTTTGCTCCTCACTCAACGATAAGGGACACATAAATTGGAGTGTCCAAGGCCTGAACTCCAGTTATTGAGGCACTCAGCTTCCCAGATGAGCTGGTTTTGTGTTTCATGATAGTCAGGGTTGGCAGATGAAAAGTCAGGCAGATGATGGATCATATCACCAGCACAGGCTTGATGGGTCACATGACACTGAAATGGATTAACATAGTTTGGTGATTTCTTCTCTCTGGCTGGTGGGTTTAGAGTGAATGATCTTCGAGGGAGCATAGTCAGGTAGTAAAAATTGTCTGGGATTGACTCTCCCTGTAGTCAGTTCTTGGTGAGAAAAACACTTATTTTCAGCTACTTTCTTCTTATATAGCAATGAAGGTGTAGGATTTGGGTATTTGCCAGAAATCTGAGATGTATGGTATACATATTAATCTAAATCTTTTATTCTATTAATCAGTGTAAGGTATCAATAGACTGTGGTGATCCTCTATAAACACAAAATTATGATTTACATACAGCTATACCCAAAGAGAATTAGAACTACAGATTAAATAATTCAGATTTAGGAGGCATGGATGAATGAGTGTCAGCATTATAATTCAGCTATTAAAATCAAATTTGTTCAGCTGGTGGTGTGAAGTATGTGTCAGCCATTCCAGCATTTGACTCAGAGACCACCTGGAAATTTATGGCAGGCCTAAGATGCCAGGACTGATTCATTCTGGACAAATCCTTGGTGAAAGCTAAACTGCAGATATTGATTGAATTATCTCTCCAGTTGCCTAAGCAGAAGAACATACTGCTTCCCTGTCCAGCTGGGGCAACATCAAATAAAATTAAGCCAAGTCAGAGCTCCAGGTTAAAGATCTTTTCAAATGTCTCAAAATCTAGAAATTACACTGATCCTTTATCCCACTGTTGCCAAATACAGCCCATTGCTACAGCACTGTTTCCATAGAGCACAACATGGTAGATGCAAATTGCTCCATTTCAGAGGAATTTACACTTCTCTGGCAGAGTTTAGCAGACATAAAATCACATTTCTCCAAAAATTAGCCAATAAACTATACAAAAGAATGCAAATATTCACATTTCTGGTCTAGTTGCCTAGCTTCACCATTAGCATCTGTCCTCCATTTTGATGTTCTGAACTCTTTGAACCCCTGCTTTTAACTGATCCCCTTGAAATATTTACTTGCTGGGCTACTCAATTTTTGAATGTGGCTTCATAGCTGTAAAGTATAACAACCCAACCACAAACAAAAACATAAGATTGTACCTACTTGATCATACTGTACTTAGTTGACATTCTGACAACCAAATGAGCACCCTTAGCAAATGTCAGTTTTACAAAAGTGTGATATGTGCTGGTAAAGCAAAGTTTGAGCACACAGGTCTGAGTGCCAAATAGAGCCTTGCCCATGTAAAAACAAGAATGAGACAAGCTCCCACAGTTTGGACCACTTGTCTGTGCTGGAAATGTAAATGAGTATTAACCAAAACCACATCAAACACAGCCTTGTATTCAACATAAGTAGGCAGCACTGTCATATGTAATAGAAGATGAGTAATGGCAGCTGTCTGCTGGCTCTGTGGCAGCTTTGCCTAATAAACACCTTCCCTTTTCTGCAGCTTTCCTCATCTTTCCAAACAGGTCGTGGGTGAGGTATTGAAAGCCCTGAGAGCGGGATAAGGCTTTGTACAAAGTACTGCTGAGCTGTGGAGGGGGAGAGGCATGAGCCAGCAGAAGCAGCTTGGATGAGCTGGGAAGCACTCAAGAGCTGCTCAATCGTGACATTGTACACTCTGTCCTTGCTGTCTGCAATAGCTACTGATTTCATTGCAGAAATCATTTACAAAAAGGAAACCAGCCCTTCACCGTTTTTTGCTCATTGATGCCAAATTTTCTTCTTATTCATTTATCAATCATAGCATGTTTTATTCTAAAATTATGTCATCATATTGCTGTTGCTAAATATAGGCCAAGACTCCTTACTCACAATAAAAAATGTTCTTGTTTCTCATCAACCCCCTCCTAAAGCTTCATTTCAACTCCCTTGTGAATCACTGAGGACACTGAAAGCCACCCTATTTTTCTCTCTTTGTGCAGAGAGCCCAAGACATTAAAAGAGGAATTTTATTTATGCAGTGAAAGTATGGCTCATTAATATGGCTTGGTATTGATATAGCAATTGGCTTACACTTTTGAAATGAAACATCCAGCAGCAAAGAGAGTTCTGATTTAAGGAAACTGAATGTGTTCACAATATAACATCCTCATATATTTGAAATTTTAATTTTCAACACTTTCCCTATTCTTCTCTCATACTGCATAGCTGTGATAAAATACAATTTTCAGTTAGGAGATAAGTTGTGATTTTTTTTTTTTAGTGGAGTTTGAATGAGTTAATTTTTTCTCATCTTCAAGTATTAAGCCTCACTTGATGCAAAAGAATAGCTCCATGGGCTTCACTGTAGGCAAAATTTGCTGAAAGAAGGCACAGAGTGATTTGGATGCAAGATCTGTGATAAGCAGGGCAAGAGAAACACTGCTGGTTCACAATAATTTTCAGTTTGGTTAAAGTGTTGAAAGACAGGAAGAACATAGTTAATATGAAAATGTGCAATCTTTCAGAGTATCTTTACCTTCTCTCATTTTACTGTCTACCTCTGATGAATCCAGCTCACACTTAGTGGGGCTCTGCTCTCACATTTCTGTGATTATATTGGCTTAAATAAATTACACCAAACATAAACCTCCTTCTCCTTGCCACAAAAATAAAACACCTTCCTCCTTTTATGAGCAAATTTAACAAATTCAGAGAATGCTTTCACTCCAGGATTTCATGGGCTTGCGTAGAACGCAGGGTCTCTGCAAAAAGGAGCTATGGGCTTCCTGGAACGCTGCATCTTCTTGTTAATGAAATCTTGGGCAGATTTGCTGTGAGAAACCATCATCACAAAACTTGCTGCAAGTCTGCTTCAGCTCCCACAGAGGATAAAAATTATACAGTCAGAGGGACTAATCTCCTTGAATTCTATCCTGTCTTGAATCTCCCATTCCACTTAAGACAGTGAGAATCTGACAAGTGTGTCTGCTCCAGCAAACCTCTCCTGACATCTCCCCACTCAGATTATTGCCCCCAAAAGGCTGTGATGAGGCAAAGACAGCCATCCTTCCCAGGGGAAGGAAAAAAGGGTGAACTAATGGTGCTGGGGTCACTCATCTGCTCCTGCGCCTCTTTAGGTGTTCAGGACACACAGCTGTGTAGCTGACAAAATCTGTCAGTCTGGCTCCCCTTTCCTTTGTGAGACAGCAGCTGTGTCTCCTCCCTGACTGTTCTGAGATGCTCCCACCAGGACCAGTCCTGCCATCATCCTTTTAGTGTGCAGCACAGCCATTGAGGGACATTATGAGATGAGGTGGGGTGCTGTGACAATAATGCCTTCTGCTGCTTTTTGTGTCTCATATCCCACACTGGAGCCATTGCCTCCCAAGCAGGTCTAATCCATAGAATCATAGAATAGTTAGGTTGGAAGGGATCATGTAGTTCCAACCCTGCCGTGTTAGAAGTCAGACAACTGAATATATATTTGCTTCAGCTGGCCCAAAGTCTATTAAATAAAAGAGTTTGGGAGGGCTCTGCCTTTCTAAATCTGTGATCTGATTAGAAAGCATTGCTCTTAGAACTTGCACAGAGAAAACCAGGAAGAGTTTTCCATAATCAAACCCAATGATTAAGTCAGGAAGGAAGGAGAATAACTTTCTGTTGGTAGTAGATCTGTATCTTTTTTACAGCCATACCCGCTATGAAATGAATTAAAAGGTGGATGGCTTTCCTTATTTCGTGTGAAGTTAAATGTAGTAAAATGGAACTTGTTCAATATGAAAGTTCACAACCCTTCTAATTAGAAGGCAAACTTTATTTCCCAAGCTGCCATGAAGAGGAATAATTTCCAAACACTCAGCAAGCCCTGCTACAAAACTGTATTTTCTGTTGCTCTGTCACTTGACCGGGCACAGCATCTTCTTATCCCTCACTCTTTCCTCTCGATCACTTCTTCTAGAGAAGCAGTTTTGACGGAGGGTTTTAGGGGGTGGAGAGCGGGGTCCCTAATGCTGGGGGGGTTTCTCCGAGCGGCGGGGGCGGCAGTGCCGGTCCGGC